ATCAATTCTTTGAATTTTTGTCACCTTTTCTAGAAATTTTCACTTTTTTTTTGAATTTTTATCACTTTTTTTTAGTGAAAAACATCATTTTTTATTTTTGTTGAAGAGCTTCATTATCATAATTTGTGTTTAAAAATTAATATTGTTTCAAAAGGATTCTATTTTGTACTAGATTTTAGAGAAAGTCACATTTAATATGTTTTCTCTTTAAATTCTTCTAACTAGAAAAATAATGTTATTAAATTGGTTCAAAAGCAACTTTTGTGTCTCAAAACTCAAAAGTTCTTTTTTACTTCTCAACAAAAGCAATGCTAAATAGGTTCATGGATCATTTTAGGAAATTTTCAAATTTGAGATTTAGAGAGAGAGAGAGAGAGAGAGCAACTACAATTACTTGAGATTAAAGGCAAAATTTAATTGAGAACTTTATTTTCTGTAAAACTTCAATTCAATGAATCTTCATATTTCGTTCCAGCTTGGTTAGGTTAAAAAAATAGATTTTTAATATATTTTGATAAAAAAATAATGAAATTAATAATTGAAAAATTGTGACTCTCATCAAATATACAATTGAAAGGGAGTTTAAAGAAGAAATTTTTTTCTCTAAAAATTGGCATCACAATTTGCAGAACAATTATGCAATTGCCTCCAATTGGCCCCTATTATTTGAGAACATTATTTTTAGATTAGAGTTTTGTGTTATTTTATTTTATTTATTTTAAGGATGCATAGTTTATAAAAGAAGAATTTTTTTTAATTTACGTATAATATTATTTTATTAAAAAATATGTATTTAAAAAGAAGTGGATAAAAATGTATTATAATTTTAAGAGGAAATTAGGTTAAGTACGGCCCTAATCAAAGAGAATTGATTACTACCCTAAATTACAAATTTATTTATTATTATCTTAATTAGCCGTAACTTCCATGTGAGATTAAAAGAAATCATATACAACCCCAACTAAGCATATACAACCCCAACTAAGCCCTTCTCAGTTTCGTATTTCCTTCAAGCTTGAGGACCTTTTCGTTTACTCGCCTTTGGAATCGACGTCGCCTCTATTTCTCTTAAGTGTGTTTGGACGTTGCTTGTTGCTGTTTGAGCGCCACCTGCTAAGATTGTGGTGCGGTTGTGTGCCGCCTTTACTTCTCTTAGGTTGTGGTGCGTAGTGCCTGTTGGTGTTTTTGTTGTGGGAAGGAAGGGGGAGGGGGGGGGGGGGTGTTTGTGCGCTGCCTATACTTTAAAAAAAATAAAAAAATAAAAATAAAAAAGGTTGAATCTCAATCTTGAGGGCTCCCACCGCCCCGTCTCTAGAGCTTTGTGAGAGAGGTAAATCGCGGGAGGTGCCCCAACAGGCCAGAGAACAAGAGCTGTCTGTACAGTGCGCTTATAAGGAATCTAATTCCATGTCTCAGAAATCGAACCCCCACACTGTGGCTGCCATCAAGACGTGAGATAACCTCACTCCTGTCTTTTGCACCACTGGGCTATGCTCCAAGGAGCAACGCTGCCTATACTTCTCCTAGGTTGTTGGTGGTGTTGTAGTAAATTTTTGTGACTTCGTATAATGCTTGAACCAAGAATCACAACACTTTTATTTTTATTGCTCTTTAGTTCATTAACAGCTGATGGTTTCTCATTTTCCATGTTCGTGCTCTTCTTATTTATAGATTCTGTTTCGCGTGGGTTAGTCGCTAACAATTAAAAGGGATTAGACGATTGTGTAAGGGACAAATCTCTTGAGACAAAATCTCAAAAAGGGGTGTTCTTTTATTGGCGATGACTTTACAATTGGAAATTAAAAACAATGTGCCTTCAAGGGGCGCAAGCACACGAGTTACTGAAAGAAAAGTGTTTAAATCTAAAGCTAAGGAAATTAAAATTACATGTTCTCTGTTCGAGAGTTTTTGATTCGGTCCTTTGCTCTATGTTTTTTCTCCCTTTTATACTTCATGGACGATCTCTTTGTGATCAACCGCCTAAAAACCGCTTGATTGTCCTATAACTGCCCACTTTCCTCGTAATGGCCGACTTGTCATGAAAACTGCCTTCTTTTAACTGCTGCCATTACTCTTCGTCGTTCAACCGCTTTCGATTGAATTTCTTGAATCGTGGAACGTGATAGGGTTGCTTTAACAACTGTTTTGATAACTGCACTTCTTGATAACCACAACGCTTTATGTTTGTTAAAACCTTGGGCGACTTGAAGGTTTGGGCGAGAATAGAGTAACAGCTCTGGGCGACCAGATTGGTGTGTAGTTGAAATAACTCTTTCGACTCTAAAAGACCAAGATTGCCCTTTAGATTTCCAAATGAAATTGTATGAGCCACTGCCTCTTTGCTCCCTCTCTTTAGACTCTCAAAAAATGGGCCTTGTGTGTAATTCTCATAGCTAAAGCTGTTGCACTTTTGGAACCTCTGCTGCAGCTTCTGACTAAATTGTGTTGTGTTAATGACTCCATATTGAATTAAGCATTTGACTAATTTGTCTATATATATATATATATATCATGTGATTATATATGAGATCGATCAACTATACTGTGAATACATGAATGTTATCAATGTGTGAAATTTAATAATTTTACTGCTCTCATCTTAAATTAAACAAATAGATTGCAAAATTGTTATTATTTATAAACTTCTACCAACAGTCTTCACAAAATAAATTAGATACTAATTATTCAACAAATGTTTGTCACTTTTTTCAATTTCGTCACTTTTTGAGCGTTTGTGTCACTTTTTTTTTTGAATTTTGTCACTTTTTAAAATTCGCCACTTTTTTAATTTTCTATCAATTCTTTGAATTTTTGTCACCTTTTCTAGAAATTTTCACTTTTTTTTTGAATTTTTATCACTTTTTTTTAGTGAAAAACATCATTTTTTTAAAAATAAAAGTGACATTATATGTAATTTTTAATAAAAAAGTGATATTAAACTTTTAAAAGTGGCATTGTGTCACTTTTTTTAAAAGTGACAATTTTTTATAAAATAAGGATACATTGTGTCATTTTTTTAATTTTACACAATGCCCTTGTTTGAGTCTCATTCTTTTGATAAAAATGAATTTTTGAATAGTATATTGATGGAAAATATGTGGTTAAAAAATAATAAAGAATTTTGAATTTGTGTGTAATATTATTTTATTGAAGAATATGTGATTGAAATAATTTCAAAATATTGTTTAAAAATATTTTTTTTTAAAGAATGTGAATTAAACAGGGGTAATATTTTTACCTTATAAATTTTTTTTTCATACTTTCTTTCAAAAGATTCTAATTTTAAGGTATTTTAATGGGTTCGAGCCTTCTTCTCTTAGGTTGTGGTGCGTAGTGCCTGTTGGTGTTTGGGTTGTGGGAGGGGGGGGTGTTGTTTGTGCGCTGCCTATACTTCAAAAAAAAAAAAGGTTGAATCTCAATCTTGAGGGCTCCCACTGTCCTGTCTCTAGAGCTTTGTGAGAGAGGTAAATCGCGGGAGGTGCCCCAACAGGCCAGAGAACAAGAGCTGTCTGTACAGTGCGCTTATAAGGAATCTAATTCCATGTCTCAGAAATCGAACCCCCACACTGTGGCTGCCATCAAGACGTGAGATAACCTCACTCCTGTCTTTTGCACCACTGGGCTATGCTCCAAGGAGCAACGCTGCCTATACTTCTCCTAGGTTGTTGGTGGTGTTGTAGTAAATTTTTGTGACTTCGTATAATGCTTGAACCAAGAATCACAACACTTTTATTTTTATTGCTCTTTAGTTCATTAACAGCTGATGGTTTCTCATTTTCCATGTTCGTGCTCTTCTTATTTATAGATTCTGTTTCGCGTGGGTTAGTCGCTAACAATTAAAAGGGATTAGACGATTGTGTAAGGGACAAATCTCTTGAGACAAAATCTCAAAAAGGGGTGTTCTTTTATTGGCGATGACTTTACAATTGGAAATTAAAAACAATGTGCCTTCAAGGGGCGCAAGCACACGAGTTACTGAAAGAAAAGTGTTTAAATCTAAAGTTAAGGAAATTAAAATTACATGTTCTCTGTTCGAGAGTTTTTGATTCGGTCCTTTGCTCTATGTTTTTTCTCCCTTTTATACTTCATGGACGATCTCTTTGTGATCAACCGCCTAAAAACCGCTTGATTGTCCTATAACTGCCCACTTTCCTCGTAATGGCCGACTTGTCATGAAAACTGCCTTCTTTTAACTGCTGCCATTACTCTTCGTCGTTCAACCGCTTTCGATTGAATTTCTTGAATCGTGGAACGTGATAGGGTTGCTTTAACAACTGTTTTGATAACTGCACTTCTTGATAACCACAACGCTTTATGTTTGTTAAAACCTTGGGCGATTTGAAGGTTTGGGCGAGAATAGAGTAACAGCTCTGGGCGACCGTATGGCATTTCATTCGCTCAGATTCTGGGCGACTTGCAAACTTGAAGAGACTTAATAGAAAAATTTCCGGATCTAAGCTATTTCGTTTTATATGGTGACATTCAAGATGAAACCTTAATAGAATATCAAAGTCTAAAAATCAAACGCCAAGATTCTAAAGTTCAAGTGAGCTGTGAAATTTTGAGACTGGTGCTTTCAAATGAATCATCATCACTTAAGAAATATAAAAAAATAAAAATAAAAAATCAATAAATAAATTTTTGAATTACTTAAAAAATAATCATGTAAAAAATGTGGTAGCTTTGCGGTCCCCGAGGGACGAAGTCAAATGTCTTAGCTCTTGTTTGAGTCTCATTCTTTTGATAAAAATGAATTTTTGAATAGTATATTGATGGAAAATATGTGGTTAAAAAATAATAAAGAATTTTGAATTTGTGTGTAATATTATTTTATTGAAGAATATGTGATTGAAATAATTTCAAAATATTGTTTAAAAATATTTTTTTTTAAAGAATGTGAATTAAACAGGGGTAATATTTTTACCTTATAAATTTTTTTTTCATACTTTCTTTCAAAAGATTCTAATTTTAAGGTATTTTAATGGGTTCGAGCCTTGTTCCTTCACCGTCAAGTCAAATTACGAATCAAATTTCTTTTCTCAATAATTTTTTGCCAGAGAGAATTTTATAGTATACATTTATTCAGACATAGACTGGCAATAAATCAGGCTGACGGTCACGCAATAGTGTCTCCATTCACCCAGCTCAGCCGCTCTACGCCCCTGACCTCCGCGGCTCCGCCATAGCAAAAAGAAAAATCTATTTTAATCTTTACGAAGGAATAAAGTTTTCTTTTTGAGAAGAAAAAAGAATTTATATCGGTTTAATCCGAGACTGAAATGTGGACGAACCACCATGGGTTCAGCATCATCAGTTATTGAAAAGCCCCAAAATGGAAATCTAGGGTTAGGGCTTATGAACCCAGAATCGACTCCGATTGATCCGACCAGTGATCAGAGGGGTGTAAAGGATGTTTCTGATTCCGAAAATGCCCCTGTGGAGAGGAGTGATTTACCAAAGGGTATTGAAGAAGAGGTGAAGGAGAAGGCTGTTGAAGAGGAAGAGGTGAAACTGAGGGATACCATTGAGAGAGAGATTCATCAGCTGACTTTGGAGCGGGCCGAAATTGAGGCGGCCTGGAAGAAAGGTCCTGGGCTTAATGGTGATTTTAAGGAAGGGAATGAGATAAAAACCGTGAAAAATGAGAATGCTGATGAAGAAAAAGATGTAGAATTTACGGTAAAAAAGAAAAATGAGGCCGCCCAGGAGGAAAGTCATGGGCTTAATGGTGATTGTAAGGAAGGGAATGAGGTAAAGACCACGGAAAATGAGAATGCTGATGAAGAAAAAGAGGTAGAATATACGGTAAACGAGAACCGTGATGAAGAAAAAGATGGTCATGGTGTGCAGAATTGGAAGGAGGAAGATAGAAATGAAGGTTATGACGAGAATGAGAGTAGTGATGAAGAGGAGGGAGAAGGGGAGCCGGTGAAGGTGACGGTGAAGGGAGGGGGGAATAGTGAGTTTAAAACAAGGAGGTCTCAGTATCCGATGAGACCCGATGCAGAGGACTGTTCGTTTTATATGAAAACAGGGTCATGTAAATTCGGATCAGGTTGCAAGTATAATCACCGTCCCGGAAGAAAGAATCAGGTTTATACATACCTATAGATGCGTAAATTAGCTTGTGCATTAGAGTATGAGTGTTTTTTGCAAAAGGATTTGCTCTTTCGAATTTTTTTTCCATCAGTTTGTTTTGATTGAATGAAGCAGCTGTGATTTTTCTGTGAATAAATTGGTTAATACTTAACAGAATAGAAAGGTATGTCTAGATACTGTGTCTTTAATGTCTTGTTTTCTTGATATATTGATTGGACATAACGTGTCTAGATATTGTGATTTTTCGGTATAAGGGTTTGCTCGTAATTGAAGTTGACAAAAAATAACGAGTGACTTAGATAAGTCATTGCCGGTAAGACTTCAATAAAATATTTAGCATTTATAACCTGAGTTGATTTGAGTAATTGGAAGATAGAATCCAGTGCATATATATAGATGCATGCTCACACAAGTGGTCTCGAGTGCATGCATGTGTGTCATTTGATTGATCAGAAGTTGTTGAATTTCTTAGAATGTAGTAAGACGTGGTTGCTTTTTCAGTGCTTACGATGTATAATCTTCTTCTTCATTTTGATTTCTCTTTATTATATGTGTTCAGATACTAGATTGGTAAAAATGGATTCTTTTGCCACTGAAAATAATGACACCACTTTTTACTGGATAATGCCCCCGATTGCAATAAGTTTTGCGTTTAATAACTGTGTTTTTGAGATTGAGTTGGTAAAAGTATCTGCAATTGGATTGTGTGTTTGTTGACTGTTCCAGAAGTTAAAGATAAAATTTATATCAATAAATGTAAATTTTAAAGAATCATGAAATCTGTAGACATCTGCATGTTTGTATATTATATTATCGATCGAATGCTATGGTAAATTCCTTCTTGTCTTGCAGCATCTCGTTTTTATATACCCTAAACATGGTCTGTGATGCGCATGCTACAATGTTTCAAATATTTTGCATACTAGTGTCCTCTCCATTGTTGCAATATATGAATTGAAAATGAATTTGTTTCATTAACATTCATGTTTTTGTAACTAAAGATAATGACGTTGTTAACATTCATTGATTAATTAAATCTTCTCACTTATTATGGAATTTAGCATATTATTGTTATTTATTATGAAATCATGGAAATATTGAGGTTTACATTAACTTTGTATTTTCTTCTATTCATCTATCCATTTTCTTTTGAAGGATGTTAAGGAGAGACCAAATGGAGGGGAAGGAAACCCAGAAAGGGCTGGACAGATCGAATGCAAGGTCTTTATCAAATTTGTTGTTCTCTTTTGGGTTTTGGTCATAAAATATACTTATCTATGAATGCTTGTGATCTTATTCCCTTTAGGTAATTTTGTCGACATGCACTATAATATAGATTTGCCTGTTGTGGTTGCTTCTCAGTATCATCTTGACGTAATAATCATATGTAATTGGGAATTATTTGCATCAATGCAGAAAATCTAACCCTGCAAATAAGAGTATGTCTCGATATTTGAATATCTATTGTAAACAAAAAATGGACCAATGGAGTTAATTTTGACATTATTGCTTACTCTTCTGAAATATAAGAATGAAATAAGTGGATGCCTGAATGCTTTATTGGGGATAACTAATAAGTATGTTTGTTATTGATAAAAATTGAGTGAGGCTAGGTCTAAATAAAGTAGAAGAAAAATTGGATGCTGGAATTAAAGATAACCAAATAAGAAGAGTAGTAAAGATGAAGTGGGTAGTGAAGAGAAAATGGATCACCCACACAGGTTGAGCAAAATCGCTGAAGTCTTAAATTTTCTCACAGTATTTATAGATCTAAAAGACTTCTAAAAAAAACTAGGACTTTGAATAGAAATATTTTTAAGACTAAGAATTTCAAATAAAATTTAAATAGCAGCAAAACTCCAAACTGAAGATTCGTGGTCAAGAATTTAACTTAGATCTGAAATTTTCCAAAAATATTTTTACTCATAACCTTGATGAATATAAGAGAACATAAGTTAAGGGCTCTAAGACATAATATCTCCTAAATAATAAAATAATAGCTGTTTTACTGACATAAAACTTGGCATAAATTTCAGCCTAAGCTTCATCGCATATGCTCTACATCCTTCATGTTTCAAATTGAAATTTGGCATTATCCTTTAGTATATTATCTGCATCGTTTCTTACCTATACTTCCGGAAACTAGTATTCAAATTGAAGCTTGACAATGTAATAAATCTCAACATCTAATGTTGTCTCTCTCGAGGCTTGAAATATATGAACTCTTTTGACTTAATAAAATCCAATGTAAGAATTTAGTAGGGAACTCTCTCCTTGACAAGCTCGAACCTGTCCGCAATAGCACAATCACTTAGTCGATGGCCTTTCTGAATATCTGTCCTCCTATATAAATGTTAGAGATGATTCCTGCCTAATGAGCCCATTGTCCATGAAAACATTTACAAATGTTGAATACATAAGTATGAGCAAATAATTCTTGTCCATCCTTACACCTTGAATTTTTAATGAGGCGGTTCAACGTGAATTCGTTACACTGTTTGATGAATGAATAGGGCATGAATGTGAGTGGTGGGTGTTGAAGATATTTATAAATGCTAGTCAAAGTTGAACGTGCATTGCACATTATTCTAAAATACTTTATAAGTGATGTAAAAGTAATATTTGGTATCAATTTGTTGGAAAATGTGATGAGTCTCGGACGAATTAAAGAAAATAAAATTTAGCACAGAAATTTAAGAGAAGAAAATTTTACTCAAATTGTACTTTCAAAACTCAATTTTTATGATTCAAATTTTTTATAATGATGAAATACTATAAATGAACAATCTTTTTGTATTACATTAGATATATAAAAATTAATTGTTAATACATTAATTTAAACACCCATTAAAATTTCTAGATACATGAATATGAATAAATTCATTTATAATAACTCTAGATTCATGTAATTCAAGATTCATAAAGTGAAAATTCATTAAATTTAGATTAATGTGAATGTGTTAATTAATTGAGAATTAATAACACCAATTTTATAAATGACAATAATTTTATACTATTTATTATATATCAAAAAACGAAATGTAAGGTATTATTAAAATAATTGAATTATAGGGAGGTTAAAATCGTCAAAAAAATGATTCTCCATCAATGTGATATTTTAATATATTATAAATTAAATAAATTTCTCTCATCTCTAAGAACTCAAGCATTTAGATGATATGGTTCCACAACAACTAATCTATCGATCTATTGAGTGGGGATAGGTTTTGCGATTTCTATACTGCTAAGCACTTCAAATACAACTAAAAGATTGTTGCAGAAACAAGAACTAAGTTTCAGCCTAAGATTTTGATCCAATATCGTGTGTGTTTAAAGTATTAAATTTGAGCTTCTTTTGTTATTTTCTGTTTTGGACGTGCCTTTAATATTTTTCCTTTTTCGTTTTTACTTTGAAGAGTCTTTGGACAATGGGTATAACAAAGGTGCAAATATGTTCATTTTCTAAGGTTTTTCAGTTTTTGTCATTTTTCTCCTGTCTGTACTGGTTTCCTAGTTTTCCTTGGTGTTTTTTCCCCTGAAGGCGAAGCATGTTGTCCTTTCAAAAAGTAAAGCTCTTCATATCCAATTTTGTAATCAATTTAGATACTGCTTCGATGCGATGTGTTATTAAAGCTTAACTTCTGTGATTAACCACTGGTAGCTGTTTTATCTGATGCTACTTCTACTCGAACTATTGGCAGTATTACCTGACATCAGGGGGATGCAAGTATGGTAAGGCTTGTAAATACTATCATGGCACAAGGAAAAGTTCAATATCATCCCCTATTCTGGAGTTCAACTTTCTAGGTCTGCCAATTCGACCGGTATAGTCTCTTTGTACAGTACAAAATTTCTCTTATATATTTCAGTTTAAACTTTCTTTCAGTAATGTTTGGTTGGATTCAAATCTATAGATGCTTTCTCTAATTTAATTGAACAAAGGTGATTACTTTTGATGAAAAAAATAAACATTTGGACGTAACTTTTTTCTGTAGACAAGAAACAAGATTCCAGCCTAATTTGAAAGCAGTGCTGCAGTAACAACAAACTAAAGCTTATTCCTAATGAATTTGGGATAGGCTACATGAATTCTTTTTAGCCCATTCAACCAACTATCGTTTTCATAACTAAACAAATTTCTTTAGTGATTTATAAATCATTTAGTCTGCTGTTAAAAAAAAATGATTTTTTCGTCACAGGGAGAAACAAATTGTCCCTACTACATGCGCCATGGTTCCTGCAAGTATGGAACAAACTGCAGGTTTCATCATCCTGAACCTACGGAAGAGACTGAAGGTGACTCCCCATTTGAATATAGCAATGGTGGATCTCTTCCACCACAAGCTTTTTCCTCTTCACCCACCACTTCCTGGTCTTCACCAAGGGCATCGAATGAAACTGCACTTTTTGTACCATCAATGCTTCCTACAACCCAAGTTGTACCTTCTCCAAATCCAGAATGGAATGGATATCAGGTGTTTGTTATCTTTTCATTGTTTCAGATTACTTTATGGATCATTGTTGTAGATATTGTATTCTTTTAATTCTTTGTGTTGCATGTTTGTGGCACTTGAATATATATTCTTTCGTAGGCTACATTTTCAAGATTAGTCATAAAGTTGTTTCTTCTTCTAATTGTTATTGGATCTCAGTAAAACATGTTAGAGACAGAAGTAGACCGAAAATTAACACATGTGGTGGTTGCGAAGAGCAAGTTGCTTTGGACTTTCCATTGTACGTAGTAATGAACCAGAATAGAGAAAAAATATTCACGTATCAGACTCCAGGGAATAAAGCTTAGCTGCTACTTGTTGTATTCAACTTATGTGATAGTGAGTATTAAGAGATTGTGTCACTTCTATTTTGTCCATATGTCCTGATGCGTTTTTAACCTGCAACTAGATAACTTATACAGTTGACATAATGAAAACAATATTTGACATCGGAGATTTGATTGTTAATTGCAACACACTTGTAAGTGATGCTTTCATCTATCCTTTACCACTGTTGCCCTCCCCGTATCACGTTACCACACTATTCTACACGAAGTTTACTGGCCAATAAGTTAATTTCACTTCAAAGTGTCACTTATCAATGCTGCTTCTGCTCTCATTTGTTCCTTTTCTTTTTGGGTTAATTGAGGCTGCACCGTACCCAACATCAGAGAGGAGCTTACCTACACCTCCAGCATTTTCCATGAACAAGATACCGACTTCTATGAACTTCCCAATTCAACATCAACAGGAGATGGTAACCGAAGACTATCCGGAGCGTCCTGGCGAACCAGAATGCAGTTTCTTCTTAAAAACTGGAGATTGCAAATATAAGTCGAATTGCAAATTTCACCATCCAAAGAGACGCATATCGAAGCCAAAAGCAAACCAATTTTCTCTAAATGACAAAGGCCTTCCCCTTAGACCCGTAAGTTTATTTGTCTACAAGTTCATAGAGTATGTAATTACAATATTTATGTAATATGTGAAGAATGGAGATCTTCGTAATGCAGGATCAGCCCATTTGTACACGCTACTATCAGTATGGAATTTGCAAGTATGGACCCGGTTGCAAATTCGATCATCCTGCTAACTTTGCTGTCTCACAGCCACCTTATGAACGGCCTCCATTCAACTCTTGAACTCCTGATGGGGCGTGAATCATCACTCTGAGAGGAAATGGAATTGGTTCTTCAATGTAGCATTTTAAGATTATCGTTACATTTCCTCTAGTTTCTAGTCTAAAATGACCAGCAGTTGAACTAACTATCGAAGTTTCTGCTTGATTTCAGCATATATCTGAACCACAGGAGTTAGAGAGACGGGGGTTTATGTTTTATGATTGTTCTGTGTTATTTATAGAATTGTCATTATATTATGTACTTTCTAGGATTACAGGATAGAGCGCGGTTTTGGTGATGATTTCCTTCTTTATTTGATTGTCATTCCCCTGCGCATGTTTGGTTGGCAATACGAGTTTAAAAATGGACGGTATCATTTTTTTTTTTAATTATAATTTTTATCCAATTCTCTTTACCAAACATGTCATTAAATTTTGAATGGGCATTCTTGAGTTCTAGTAGAATTGGCATCAGGACAGCAGAGATTCACTAGTGGGTAACTGCTAAGGAATTTATACGCAGGAAACACACAGCACCTTGTACTAAGTACAAGGAAACGGATGAAATCTTGTGGGTAAATTTCATTCGCAGTAATATTACTCTCCAGTTCAATCAAATAATTGTGCTTTAATTTTATTTAATCAGATGATAAAATTTTAATTAGATTTTGATTAGGTAATTTCATCTAATTTATTTATTAAACCGAAGGAAATTTATGACATTTTAGTCAATAGATGATGTATGACATTTATTTCAATGAAATTATACTTATTTTATATATACTACCGTTATATTTTATAATCATCATTTTATTAAATGTCGTATCATCAATTATTATCAATGGAATTTCACAAAGTTGCATTCATTGGATGAAATTAAAATGTAAACTCAATTGCAATTACCATATTGAAACAGGGCACCACTTGACAGGCCAAAATTTTATAAGAAAAGTGGAAAATCAATTCCAACTTTGAGTTTTAAGGGTGTTTGATACCATTTTTTTCCCATGGAATTACATTTTCTAACTTTTCTTGGGAATTGAAGTTTTATTTGTCTTGAAGGAAAACCAAATTGGTTTTCCCGGTTTATTGTAGCACATTTTTTTTTTGGCAGTGGAAACAAATTCTAAAATTTATTGTAAAAAAATATTTCCCTTTAATTGACAATTTTCATGTAAAATAAGGCTAAACGAACACCCAAAGATAGATTTTTCTTGAATTTTTTTTTATTTGGTTTTGACAATGGAAACAAATTTCATTCCCAATACCAGTAAATTCTATCCCTTTAATTGACAATTTTCATGTAAAACAAAGCCAAACGGACATAAAAAAAAACTTTAATTAAACATTTTTCACGTGAAAAATTATATTAATTAAACACAATAATTTACAATTCCCAAGAAAACAATTTCCCATCAATTCATTTCCCTGGAATTCGTTTTCTTTCTATCCAAATTTCACTTTTGTAATCAAACGGACCCTAATATTAAAGTTAAGTTACCCAATAACTAAAATTGATATACAGTTACGCAATTGACTATAAAGTGAAAATACAAGCTATCGAGAATGAAATATACCCAAATATTGTAAACCCTACTATGCAAATCAGGTCTAACGGTGCCAACTGAACCAGTCTTTTGTCATTCGAGCTTTTATTCAAATTCGTTATATTTTAAGATTTTACAAGACAACACACATATAGATGACTTATAGAACCTGTATCAAGTACAAGACAAGAAGTCTAGTATTTGTCACCAGACCATAATATACAAGGAATGCCTCATTTCCGTAGACAACTTAGATTTGTTTCTCAGGATTAAGATTGCAGGAAAATTTTTGTACAAAAGTGTTCAAAATCATGATTTCAAGTTGCCACGTTTTCCTCAACTACCTACCAATGTGGACGGAAAATATGGAAAATAAATTATGGGATACTATGATAAAACTCGATTATAGTGGAGAATATAATTATACCCATTCCAAGATCATACATTCGAGCAAACTCCTTTACGGAATCCCAAAGCCCTAAGCTCCATGCCATAGTCTTCCCAAGTCACGAACATAATTAGAATAACCGGGTGAACAATTAGAAGGAAAAGAAAAAAAGTTCATTGTTGTTTAGTGCATTGTTCGCGAAATTATTTGTTTTGAATCAAAACCCACCGCAAGTGTACGATTCGTTAACAAGTAGTAAAATGGACTATAAGTCCAAGTATCGATCCCACGAGGATTGAGTTAGTTCAAATTAATCTAATATGACCTTAACCGAAACACGACAAGCAAATTGCGTTCTTATAATTTAACTAACAGACTGGAATCATTGATGCAATTATTGACTAAGGATTATACTAAGTTCAAAGTAAATTGGATGCAATTTAACTTAAATTTTTTATAAAATTAATGAATGTTCTAACTCACTAGGATCACGAATCCCCAAGCAATACTCGTTCAATAGTTATTTATGCAAATTTGACACCCAATTCCATAAAAGATGAATCGATATTCCTATTTTAATTAAGCAATCTCTCTCGAGCAATGCCAAACCTATCCCAATATATGATTCGACTATATTTCTATGACGAATACTAATATACCGACATGCATTATATTTCACGAATATCAATTAATTCACACAAGGCATAGAGGTATGTTTCTATCCTCTATCGGACCCTATGATGATTTATCCTATGTCGAACCTATTTTCCTTCTTTCGAATGCATAAAATAGGTCACCACATTCATATAATCACGTGCATAATAATTATATGACAATAAAAATGAAATAAATCAATCAATTTCGGAATTAGTGTTTACATACGTCAAAAATCCAAACCAATAATTAAACGTGGTATTACAAGGTTCATCGATCTCCTAGTAGTAATAAATTTATCCTAACATGTTAAAAAGAACAAAACTTAAAAGTATTTGAAGAAACGACATCACCCGAATCAATATTCGCTCCGATTTTCAAGTGGCGCGGTGTTTTTCTCTTGTTTTCTCCCTTGTTTGTTCTTCAAAATCTCCCAAAAACATGTACAAACGGCGTTCCCTTCGTTCTGGTCGAATTTTTGTATTTATAGAACCCTAAAGTTTTGTTTCCATAAGAGTTTCGGAAGAAAAAGGAAACCAAAATTTTCTTCAACCTTTTGTTCTATGCGACCGCATAGAGTAATCCTATGCAGTCGCATAGAAGGAATTTTCCACCCTTATTTTGTTTCGGTATGGTACTATGCGACCGCATAGAAGATAATACTATGCGGTCGCATAGTATTATCTACTATGGAGAAATTGCATTTTGGTCCTCCAACTTGCATCCTTCACTTCTTAGTATCTTCTCTTCATTCTTTTCATTTCATCACCCCACGGAATCGTGAATTTGGCAATTAGCTTAATTGATTTCTCGATTTGTTCATCGAGTCAACTTCTGGATATTTGCACTTTTGGTTCCTGAATTCTCACTTTGCGTCACTTTAGTCCTTTTTCGCGTCTTTCTCCTGAATTTCACCATGTTCATCGTTGTTTCCTACAATCCACAATTGTACAAGATTAAGTCACAATTCAATCATTTTGCTCATATTTAAGTCATGTTTGTGACCTAAATAAGTGTGTAAAAACACACTTATCAAACTCCCCAAATTTGAATTATTGTTTGTCCTCAAATAAGATAGTGACTTAATTATGAACAAACATGGCTTAATATCCTGTTGTGGCTTAGGATTGGGCTGAGTATTTAAAAATTTATCTGTGCAAACATGACATCAACCTCTACCTGTCAAATCATACTTGATGTGTGTGTGTAAATTCATGCTAACATATTGGGTTCATGATGAGTTTGAGTCCTGACCCCAAGTGGTCAAAAGTATCCTTGCTCGCTCGAGAGATGCACAACCCCCCAAACTTATTCTTTTCACTGAATTATCCCGAGGTTGTGTTTTAAAATTAGGAGTTTACATAGCTGTAGTCCTCTCCCTCTCGTAGTTTGGATTAATCTCACTATCACAAGTTTACATTTCAATAAGTGAAAGCTCCCCCAAATTTGATTGCTTTGACATTCAAGATTAAAAATAGGTTACTTGCCTCGCCTCAAAGGTATAGTTTCCTCAACCAAATGTCTAAGGGCTCTTCTTCATGTTATTGTCTCTCTTTATATATATATATATCATCTTCTCATTTGCTTTCTATATAACTCTGTTAGCGAGCTTTAGGCCGATGACTCCCAAACCAGTTGGTTTTAGGGCACCAGGTTTTAAACCCTTGCAGGCTTACTTGCTCGAGTTATAAAGGTTCGATCAGATGACTTTTTATTAACCTCTTTCCCTCTTGCTTTCTATACGACCTTTTTAGTGAGCTTTAGGCCGGTGATTCCCAAGCCTGTTGACCTTAGGGCACCAGATTTTGAAATATCCTTACAGGCTTACTTGCTCGAGTCATAAATGCATGAAAAGAAGTGTCTTATTCGCTCAAATTTATTTTATGCCCTTATTGTTCTAGACATTTAGTTTCCAAAACCAACCCCTAATTTAAAATTTTCACCTAATCTTCATCCCCACTGGACTAGGCAATCCACACAATAAATTTCATGCACGAAGCCTCCATTCATCTCAATGCTTTCCTATAATAGCTCAACTATCACCAAACTGTCTTTAGGTAGTTTATGGGTTAACTCAATAGAGGGTTATCATTTATTTTTTGTTTTTGTTTTTTACTTTACGCTCAAAATCCATTCATTCACCTAACATGTCAAGCATGAATAACGTGCATAGATAGTGTCAAGTGTTGCATCAACAAGTATCAGTTAGTCTAATTAACACCAAATCCAAAATTTTGCAGTTTCAACTAGTCCAATAATGACATCATAGCGAACGAGGTTATTAAGCCCACACAAGCATGCATGAAGAGAATTAAAACAGACTGAATAGAATGCAATTTTTTTTTTCATTCATCATGCATGCAATAATAAATAAATAAATAAAGTAATGATGAACATATATAAAGATGTGAAATAAATTATGTCACCCTCTCAAACTTAGTTAATACATTGTCCTCAATGTAAGATTAACAAAAGATTAATGACATAATTTTTAAAGACAAACTGAAGATGAAGAATCAAAATGGGATAAACTATACTCCCCTGATCAAAATGGTGGTTGGAAAGGAAAGTGGGGCCCGGTATCATCATTGCCAGGAGGAAAGAGAAGGCGAGACAAGATCTCCCTCAACAAGGTCGACTGCTGGGTCTGTTCCATCTGCATGGCCTGAACCTTCGTCTCCAAATTCCCTAGGCGGTCCCAAGACTCGTTCACCCGCCACTGTATACCATCCATCCGGCTAACGTACAAGCCCAGACGCCCATCAAAGGTACTCATCTGTCGGCGTGCTACGATGGA